ACAACTAAATAATTTAATGCCAAATCACAGGTCAACAATTTACTGGGATTTATTTCTGGGGGATACAGTTCATAAATAATGAGGTTATGTTAAACTTGTATGGGGCCCTGGTCAAGCCCCCCTTGGAGCACAGTGCATATTTCAGTTCCACATACTATAAAAAGACATAGAAGCATTCGAGGTTATGTAAAAATGATTTACAAGAAGTTGCCATGATTAATAAATTACAGCTATCAAGAAAGACCATAACTTTGGACTTCTTTCTTTGGAAAAGATAATCTGGAAGTTGTCAGATAGAGGCATTTAAAATAATGAATGTGTTAGTGAGGATAGTTATGAGGAGAATGGTTCCAATGTGGGACAATCCAAAACTAGGCTAAAAACAATAAAGAAAAACAGGAAATGATGGGGAAGCTTCTTGCTTTTATATCAGATTTCCAGCATCTGCAGTATATTGCTTTTATTATAGCACAAAATCAAGGTACTTACTAATTATACAAGAGAAATAGGAAGGAATTTCTTTACTCAGGTAATGGGGAAATATTAATCTTGCTGTGATTAGATCTAGTTGAGGCAAATAGCTTTGATGTTCTTAAAAGGAAATGAGATGAGAGAAGAAAGGCAAAAGCTATGGTAATAGAATCATAGAGTTGTACAGCATGGAAACAGACCCTTCAGTCCAACTTGTTCATGCTGACCAGATCTCCTAAACTAATCTGGTCCAATTTCTCCTATATCCTTCTAAACCTTTCCTATTCATGTACATATCCGGATGCCTTTTATATGTTGTAATTGTACCAGCCTCCACCACTTCCTCTGGCAGCTCATTCCATACACACACCAGCCTCTGCATGAAAAAGTTATGCCTTTGATCCCTTTTAAATCATTCCCCTCTCACCTTAAACCTAATCCCTCTAGTTTGGACTCCTCCACCCTGGGAAAAAGATGCTGGCTGTTCACCCAATCCATGTCCCTGAGATGAGGCGAGTATAGGCATCATTTCAGACTAGCATGGCCAAATGGCCTGTAGTGTATGTTCTGAAGTGTACATTCTGTTTAAGGGAGATAGGAACTTGAGTGGGCCACTGAGCATAACATACTGTTTCTGTATTCATTTAGATCATGGCTGATCTGTTTCAACTTCATCTAATTAAAATACTACGGTCCAAAGGAATTAAAAGAATAATGACGGTGAATATGTGGAATTCACTTTGGGAGAAAGCGGAAGCTAAAGGTATATAGTTGTTTCTTGGAATGAAAGAAAACATACGGTGATATTTCCCAGAAAGTAGGACCATTGACTTTTAAATTACATTTGAATGACTTTACAGGATTTACAGGACATAAATTCAAAGTTAGTAGAGTATACAAAACTCAAATGTAATAAATAGTGAAGGGAAGAGTAACAGACTTTAGAAGGATGAAGAGAGGATGGAGGCACAGCATAACCGGAATTTAATAATTTAATAAAGTCACCATGAAATCCAATGGAAAATTCAGAAGAAACCTCTTCAAGAGAGATAAGAATGTTGAATTGGCTATCACAGAGAGTGGTTGAAGTAGGGATGCATTTAAGGGGAAATTAGACAGGCATTTAAGGGAGAAGGGGATGTATGGTTGTGATGGCAGTTTTAAATAAGGAAAGATTGGAAGAAGTTTGAGTGGACTATAAACACCATTGTGAACGGGGTAGCCTGAATAGCCTCTTCTGTTCTATTCATCCTACTTAATGTCATCCTATGTAATTGATAAAATGGCTGGACAAATGATTGTAGTAACTTACATTAAGAATTGTGAAGTGATACATTTTGATAGGAACAATGATAAAAGGACAATATTAACTGATAGCATCATTTCAAAGGGAAAACAGGAACAGAGACGTTGGAGCTTGAGAACATAAATACTTGAAGTGACAGATTGAGGCGAGAAGGCTAATTTGTTTAAAGAAACAAACATAGAGGAACAGGGTACGAAGTTTTGCTGAACCTTTGTAAAACTGTGGCTCAGCCTCAGTCCAAGTATTGTGTTTGATGCTGGGCAACACATTTTGGGAAGCATAATCATAAGACCATAATATATAGGAGCAGAATTAGGCCATTTGGCCCATTGAGTCTGCACCACCATTCAATCATGGCCTGTATGTTTCTCAACCCCATTCTCCTGTCTTTTCCCCATAACCCTTGATTCCCTTACTAATCAAGGAAGTATCACTGTCTGTTACTCAGCGACTTCACCTTCATTGACTTCTGTGGCAATGAGTTCCACACAGTCACCACTCTCTGGCTGAAGAAATTCCTCCTCATCTCAGTTTTAAAGTGCCACCCCTTCACTTTGAGGCTGTGCCCGCAGGTCCTGGTCTCTTCTAGTAGTGGAAACATCTTCTCCAAGTCCGCTCTATCCAGGCCTCTCAGTATTCTGTAAGTTTCAACAAGGTCCCTCCTCATCCTTCTAAACTCCATTGAGTACCGACCCATAGTCCTCAACCACTCATATGACAAGCCCTTCATCCCTGGGTTCATTCTTGTAAACCTCCTCTGGACCCTCTCTCCTTAGATATGGGGCCTAAAACTGCTCACAATATTCCAAATGCATTCTGACCAGACACATACAGCCTCAGCAGTACATCTTTGCACTTGTATTCAAGCTCTCTTGAAATAATGCTAACATTGTACTTGCTTTCCTAACTGCAAACTACACCTGCATGTTAACCAGAAGAGAATCTTAAACTAGAACTTCTAAGTCTGTTTGTGATTCAGATTTCCAAAGCCTTTCCCATTTAGAAAACAGTCTACACTTCTATTCTTCTTGCCTTTGTGCATAACCTCACGCATTAGAGAGGAGGAAGATACCATGGATTGTTTATGGAGAACGAGGAGTTGTTCTGCTTAAAACAGTGGGATTCCACAGCGATGTCCAAAAGGATGAAGAGATTTCAGAGTAAGTAGGAGAAACTATTTTCAGTGACTGTTGGGACTGTAGTGTAAAGGCATTATTTAAGATAATTAACCAAAATATCAGAAATAGTGCCAGGGTTTTATTGGGCAGCCATCGGATTTGATGAACAATGTACTGTGGGAGAGTTGGGTGGGAGCAGACTTTAAATGAGAATTGGAGCAATAATTGAGGGGAAAATATGGCTCTGGGGGATGGGACTAAATTCATAGCTCCTTCATAGAGTTGAAGCAGGCACAATGGATGGCCTGCTATGAAATGGTTGCGCGCTTCTCTGACCGTCAGAACAGTCGGCTCCCTGATTCCTCTCAAACTCTGCTTCATTGGTTGCCATGTAGACAACAACATTTCCATGATACAAACCAAACAGAAAACGCTGAGGAAACTCAGCAGGTCTGGCAGCATCTGTGTGGTGAAAAAAAATCAGCGTTTTGAATGCGTTATGACTTCAGAACCAGACCCGAAACGTTAACTTTTTTCTCGCTCCACAGATGCTGACAGACTTGCTGAGTTTCTCCAGTAGTTTCTGTTTTGCTTGTTTCAAACTTCCAGCGTCTGCAGTTCTTTGTTTCATTTTATTAATTTTACGTCATTTTTTTTACTTCGCACGTTGATTACAGTGGGCGCTGTTAGGTCTACCAATGCGATTTTATTTTCAAATCTGGTGATTTCTTTTAATAATGGATCGTTCATTCAGGGTCTCAGCAGCTACCCAAGTTTCTGATTTTAGACGCATTGTTTTAAAGTAACTTTTATATTTTCCTTATGATTGATCATTTCTCCTACGTTATTGTCCAATTATTAGTTTAATGTAGATACTTAAGTGTGCCACCACTGTGAGTCTAGTTATATAGCCCTCTGAAGTGCTTTCACAGGAATGTCCCAGTACGTCAGTGGTAGAAAATTCATGAGGTAGTGTTTTATTTTAAATGAAAGTTATTGTCTGTAACTTGTGTGGTTATTAAAGATTTTTCCCTTGCCGTTCTTTAACAACCTGCGGCTGTAGGGTTAAAAGAAAGGTCAGAATGCTCCTTATTACATCTCGCCGCACTAACCGAGACGTCACTTGTCTATACCCAGCCTTTATTTCATGTAAGTGATTTAAACAGCACGTCCAAGCAACTTCAGAGAGACGACAGATGTGGGTACATTTAGGAACAGTTAATGCAATCACAAGACATCTATGTACAAGAATATACTGTTTATCTGAATTATTTACAAAGTCACAAAGCAATATTTACAACCCTTGCAGATAATAATTCTGGAGAATATTTTACATTAATGCTGATTACATTAAAAGTATATTTGCAATAAATCAAGATGCAAGAAGATAAGTTAGGACAGCTTCCCGGTAGTTCTTAGCTTTACACAGGAGTTATCGGGCTTATAATTTAGATTGTTGCTTGCTTTGTGTAAAACCAAGCTGGTTGCTTGCTTTGTGTAAAATACGATAAGTCTTGCTGGCTGGACCTAAGCAGTTTATTAGTTGGATGTATTAAATGTATATGCTTTGTTAGGCTTTTATCGGTATGGAAAGTCTTACTATCCGTCACATGTCTTATCAGAATATATTGTCAAATGGTTTCGAAAGATTTATAAATATTCGATGCAAAATCTTAAGGTTTTTCATCAAACGTCACAAGTCCCAGACTAATCTTTGCGCCCTGGTGTGAAAGGTCACTAGCACATATTAAGTACCAGTGTACAATGTTCCAACTAGCTGCAACCTTACCAGCACTTATTTTGGTTCCAAATAATGTCATATTTGAGACGTTATTATTTACCCGTGTTGTATTGACGTGGCAACTTTGACTCTTGGCTATTCCCTAAGGTAGTTGGGGCTACCAGTTTCAATGGTGGCAGTGGGAAATTCTCGTGCTGTACGAGTGTGGAAGTTGTTTAATTGAAATCAACGAATTGTCTGTGTTTCAGAACTGGGCATCTTCCAATTACCGCACTGCAGTGCTTAAAGCTACCTTAGGTTCAAGGAGAGTGCTTTCAATCATAAAGGAGATAGTTCGAACAAACAAAAAAATCGCAAACATAAATAACTGATCAAAGATTTCCTTTCATTTAAAAATCAAAGTTTTGGAAATGAATTTTGTGTCAACGTAAAACTGAGGGCCTTAATTTGTTTAACCAAATAGTCATTGGTATCAACGAGTCTATATGTGTGCACGACATCAACACTTGTACACCAGAACTCCAAATGGAAGTCGTTTATGCAATAGAAAATGCATTGTTTTTGACCAAATGATGTTAATTACAACGGAACTGACTCTTTTTTTTAACGGGCCCTCGTTTCGCAACTTTAGATTTGTGGAATTTCAGTTTAGACGCCATTTAGTGAGAAGAATGTGCATTTCCAAAGGTCGGTGATACCGCGGTTTATATCATACAGCGAATACTAACAAAGCGTAAACGGTGTGGGATGCGTCAGGTGGTGACGGGCCTGTGGTCGGTGGCTGGGGAGTGAGGATAGAAGGCAGGAGAGCGGCGGGGTTTTGAATATGACACTCTGCAAACAAACTGCTGTTTAACACTGCAGCTTACGGATGCTCCGAGCGATCCTCTTGAATTCCCGCTGCCCTTTCTGCCATCTCTTCACCGAGGTTATGACCAGATTGCCGTCCAGTTTTTGACCCATCACTAAGTAAGGGGCGTTGATGTCGTTCATCTCATCGCAGGTACACTGAAGGCCATCCTTCAGCCACAACACACTCTTCTTCAGATCCTTCTCGGTCACCCCGTTCAGTTTGTAAATAGTTTTGCTTTTGGTCTCGGGGACGATCTTGGTGTCCCCATTGATGTAGGAAATCTCTTTCACTTTTATCTTCAAAGCTAGTGAGGAAAGGATGGGAAAAATGAGAATGTTAACGCGTCTGGTGAGGATCACAGTGCAGGAGAGGGATAAGGACAGCAGCCCTACCAAGCTGATGAGACTGAACAGTCTGGCTCATTCATTGGGGGCCTACATTGAAGAGTTCTTGCACGTTGGGACTATGGAGATTCTTTACAGCCGCGTGTTTGTGTCTGTGTAGTGTGTAGTGTTTGTGTAGGAAGTGGGGGGTAATGGTCGAAGGGGTGAGAACAACTCTCCATCTCTCTACTACCCCCTTCCTCCACACTCCGACCCTTCGCCCCCTAGCTCCATCCCACCCACCGGAATCAGCTCAGATCCAGATCACTCTGCCTCAAAGCTCAACGGTTATACACACCACATACACACACACACACACACACCACACACAAACACATACATACACACACACACAAACAAACGTACATACTCACCACACACACAAACACACACACACATACACCACACACATACACAAACAAACACATACACACACAAACACATACACACACACACACAAACACATACGCACACACACATACACACACCAACTCAGGACCCTAAAAACTACTTCTAACATTTGGGAGGATATTTAGTCAGATCTATGAATCGCTGAATCACAGGCTCTCGCTTATAAAACAAGGCAGGTACTCGATTGGTAACATTTTACCAACTCCCTCCTTCCCTTCCAGGCCACCGACTTCACGGTTTCAGAATGTCACGTTTGACCGGTTTGAATAAGTTTGGCTCAGACCGATGCCTCCAGTTTGGCCGGAGCCGTTTGGTTTAGCATTTCCCCTTTCCCTCCCGAGATGTTAAGAATGAGCTGAGCGCAGTCTGTCCTGAACGCTAGATTAAATTAAACGAGAGGGTTTTTTTTAAGGCGACAGGGAAACAGCGTTTAGTAAAAATCCGCAATCCCTGTTATTGGAACAGCAAGAAAGCACAGGACTGGATTTTTGGCCAGTTATCTTTGCCTGCGCCCTGGCACTGTCCGGGAAATTTAGACCTGTAACTTACCGAAATCGTTTTTGCAGTAATTCTCGACAATTTCATTGTCGTTTTGCTCTCTGTCTTTGCAGGCATCACAGATTTTTAGTTCTGAAAAATAATACCAATATATTAATTACTTGCATTTGCACATACAATTACAATAGAGGAATAAGAAGCGGATCTTGTAGTTTAAATCCTGGGTACGGAGCAAGAACAAACAAGATTACAGCCTGGACTTCCCACCTATAGCTTCTAGATTCTCCATGGGTTTTGCTACTTTTTTGAAGACAGCTGTATTTTACGAAGTATAAAGTATCTTCAGTTACCTTCTGTAATGTGATCTGTTCCTGAGAAATCACCCTCGCTGGGAAGGATGATCAGTTTATTGAAGAGAAGTGAAAGGCAAAATTTAGGAGCGTTGCATCGATTTCAAAGCTAGGGCATGGGGTGATTGGAAGGCGGGGGTGTAGAGAACTGAATCAGTGCGAATAAACACAATAGTCAATGACATGGATCGTGGAAGTTCTTTAAGGCAAACGATGAAAAGGAGAAGCACGCCTCCTATTCACTCACAAGTGCTCTGAAGGTCTCCACAATGTAAGTAGGTCCACTGTTGGGTCCTGGCTGCACACTGGGCTGTGCTTTGAATGTCACAGGCAAAGCTCCGCAATTTGCATTCGCTGGTAGCTTTGAAATGAATGCGCCCCCTCCTACCAACCACCCCCCACACTCACACACACATACCCCACCCATTAAAACGCCGTTGCTGCGCGATAAGAAGAGCAGCTATAGTCCTGGGCAAAGTTGGCAATGTAAATCTAGGCTGTAGCAGATGCACTCAGTATGGGGGTCCGTTAAGTTATCCTCAAATGCATGTACATATCGTCTTGTATGTGTAAGAAATGTCTTTGGTTTGTTGGATAGAGTCAAACTCGAATATTTTTGGTTCCTTGATATGCTTCTGTACAGAACCGAATTGCGTTTGTGACTATGTATATAAGCAAAGGTTTTTTGTGAATAAAGTATATATTCGAAACTTTTTTAAAAAACTAGGCTTAATTCATATCATCGAGCAGACACTCTCGTCCTTGCTGCAGTTTGGGGGAGTTGGGAGAAACCATGTTACTCACGGAATGGCAGCTAAATAGCTACAAATATCGAAACCTTTCGATATATAAATATAAAACCAAGATGCAGCGTTCACAAGACACGGATGAAACTTGCTTGTGGAAATCTTACGAATTCTTTCAAAAAGTTAAAAGAAACATGAACATATTGTAGAGGGGACTCCCCGGGGGTGGGGGGGTTTGCTGCTGACTCCTTGGTCATTAAAATGCACTGAATCATGCGAAACGTCCCGAGATTAAATCACAGCGAATTCCTCCTTGTGCTGTCAGTGGGAGAGATTATTATACAATGGATTGCTGGAACTTTTCATCCCAGCGATCGAACCCAATACTGGAGGCGGCTGGCTTTGCGGCCAATCAGTATTTTAACACGATTCATGAGTTAGCGGAATATCACAAAACAACTTGCCTTTGGCATCTTCCTCAGAGAGCAAGGCAGAGATTGGAAACAGTGGATATATCTCGGGGAGTTGGAAAATGGATCAAACAAGTAATTATACATCACAGAAATATTTGGTATTGAAAATGATCCGGATTCCCGCACACTGACACACACAATCGCAGATACAGGCAGACTCAGACACATATTCACAAAAAAGCATTCTCACACATAGGCATACACACTCAGACACACATACCCAAAAACATTCACACACAGGCACAGTCAGACACACACATTCACAAAAACAACGTTCACACACAGGCACACAGACGCACACATTCACACACAGACACACACACAGGCACACACACTCAGACACACACAGACACGCACACACAGGCACACACACTCAGACACACACGCGCACAAATAATGCAGGATATCTGTAAACGCTATCAGATAGCTGGATGTTTGCAGAGTGGGACACAGTGCCTTGCGTTCAGCCTCACCTTCTCTGGGCGGTGGGCCGTGCTGATTGGAGTCTGCGGGCGGGATGCACAGGTCGTTGTCCTGCGGAAAGTGTTCACACTGCAGCATGTCAGGCCAGGGGAAACCGAAAGCTGACATGACGGGTGAGCAGCTCTCCTTGACCTGCTCGCACAGCGAGCGGCACGGCTGGATCGGCTCGTCCAGTTCATCGATGCACACCGGAGCGAAGAGGGAGCACAGGAACTTCTTGGTGTCCGGGTGACACTGCTTCTGTACCAGCGGGATCCAGGAGCTGGCCTGCTGCAGCACCTCCTCCATGGTTTCGTGTCCCAGCAGGTTGGGGAGCCTCATCTCCGGGTACTCGATGCCGTGACACAGTGCCAGGGCACTCGGGATGAGCTTACAGTTACTGCGCTTGTAGCTGAACTCAGCGTGACTGTAAGAATAAATGCCCATCCCTTTGACTGGGGGCAAGGACAGTGCAACCAAGAGCAGACACATCCCTGCGTTCATCGGGCTCATTGTTGCAAACTTTGCGGAGAAATTGCTTTGCTCCCAAACCAGCCCCTTGCTACAGTGATGGTCAGGAGCTAAATGGGACCGGCTCCTCCAGATCTCTCGTTAAAAAGCGCTGGGAGGAGCCTGATAGGTTCACACCCAGTGATATACCCTTCTTGAGGAGAAGGGATTTCAGCAATAACCAATGTTCTGGCTCTTGTGAGATTTCACACACTTTATAAAGGAAGACAAACTCATTCCCCGGCCGTGTCTGACCATAAAACAACCCCTCCCATCTACTACTGTTCCCCATTGCAGCTCCCAAAGTGATTTTTATTTTAAAAAAGGTCGTCTTTACCGCATTTGCTGTAATCGAGTCTGGTGGCCTCACCAGAAACTGGACGCCGTTAGGGGGTCAGTTTAATACAGATTAATATAGCTGCCTGAGTCCCACCGTCTGCAAGATATGTAACGGCCGGTGAGTCAGTGATGGTTTAGGATCCTCACTTTGTTCACAACTGTACTAAAGAAAAAGAGACTAATTGGGTTTTATTTGGAGCTTTGGCAAAAAAAAACACCATGCTTCGGAGGAGGACAGATTAAGATGGAGAAACAAAAACAGAAGTTGCTGGAAAAGCCCAGCAGGTCTGGCAGCATCTGTGAAGAAAAAAATCACAGATAGTGTTTCGGAACGTTCTGAGGAAGGGTCACCGGACAGGAACTTTAACTCTGATTTTTTCCTTCACAGATGTTGCCAGGCCTGCTGGGCTTTTCCAGCAACTTCTGTTTTTGTTCCTGATTTACAGCATCCACAGTTCTTTCGGTTTTTATTAAGATGGAGAAAAGCAGGGAATGAAATAGCTGAGAGGAGGCCCGTCAATGGAAACCCAGTTTTTAGTTTTCCTGCAGAAAGTGAGTTGGTAAAAGGGCAAACATCTTGTATTTATATAGCGCCTTTCACAGCAGAGCACCCTGAAATACATTGAGTCGCAAGTCCATGAGACAGGCAGTTTGCACACAAACCGCAATGAGCTGGCGGATCAGTTTCTGATATAGTAGGAACTGCAGATGCTGGAAAATCTGAGATAACAAGGTGTAGAGCTGGATGAACACAGCAGGCCAAGCAGCATCAGAGGACCCCTTCAGGGTCTTGGCCCGAAACGTCAGCTTTCCTGCTCCTATGATGCTGCTTGGCCTGCTGTGTTCATCTAGCTCTACACCTTGTTATCTCTGTTTCTGATGTTGTTGTTTGACGATATCTGACCTGAAAGATAGTGCCTGCGGCAGGCACGGGCGTGGAAGCTCGGATTTCATACTCACGTTTTGGATTTCTAAACTTCGGACGCAGGGGCAAGAGTGTCCCCCTGAGAGCTATTGAGAAACTAATGATGCCAAGAACATTAATAGACGAAGGACTAGATAGAATTATTAAAAGTTTGGTAATTATCAGATAAGCCGGTGTGAAACATGGATAAAAATGAACATTGAAACATGAACATTTAATTGCCCAATGGACGACATAGAAATGATCACAATATACTGACCAATCTCAGTTCCACCAAAAAGTTCAAAAACCATGAAAAGTAAATTTATTCTGATAAATCTAAATCTTTTAAATCTTCAGCTTCCTTACTATTGACGGAAAATAGCAACGGCATTATTGTGTTGTAATGTACCCTAAATTATAATGTTTGCCATACCACTACTTCTGAACTGTTTAGCAAATCCAGTGGGGCACTATTAACAATGGGGTCGTGCAGCATTCTGAGTATTTTACTAGATTTGTAATCCAGAGGCTGGGTTGACAATCTGGAGCTATGAGTTCAAATTTCATGAAGGCAGATGGGAAAATTAAATTCAATTAATTCAATCAATCTGGATTGAAAATAATGATCAATAAATGTGTCAGTTCCCATAAAAAATGTGGTTCACTAATCTCATCCAGGAAGGGAATTTCCATCCTGACTTATGTGATATGTGACTCCAGATCCACTGACTCATAATTGCCCTCTGAATAAGTTGAACAAGCCACTCCAATTACACTAAACTGCTATGAAAATGTATAATAAAAATAAAAAAAGGCACTAACCACACAGCACTAGATTTAGACATGACAAAAGCACATCCATCTATTTGCTCCTTGGTGAATAAACAACAAAATTGCACATTTCAGTCAATGTCTCATATTCCATAATCACCATCCCTGGGTATTTCCTGTACCATCGGCAAGATACACTCTCCAGAAGTGATAATAATCACATAGAGTGTGGAGGCAGTGACCCTAGAAGTCCTCAACATTAACCGTGGGTCCCATGATAATGTACCTGTTGCAGATACATCTGGCATTGACACCTTTGGTAGGAGTGACAACACACAGGCAAGGAAACTTTGCAATGGAGTTGCACTCATCCTGACAAATGGAGAGTATTGCATCACACTCCTGGCTTGAGTCTTGAAAATGGCAGACAGCAATTGAGGATACAGGAGGTGAATTTCTTGGTACAAAATTTGTAGCGTTTCATTTCCTCTTGTAGCCATGGTATGGCGCATCCTGTTCAGTTTCTGGTCAATGATAGCCCCCAGGATATTGAAAATGGAGGATTCAGTAATTATAATATCTTTTAACATTGTGCAGTGATTATTAGATCCTCTCTTGTTCAAGAAGGCTATTGCCAGGCACTTGTGTGATGCAAATATCACTTGCCATTTGTCAGCTAAAACCCAGTGTTGTCCAGGTCTGGTTGCATTTGGACATGGACTGCTTCACTGTCTGAGGAGTCTTGAATGATGCTGAACATTGTACAATTATTAAGGAATATTCCCACTTCTGGCCTTATGATGGAGGGAACCTTAATGACAAAGCAGCTGAAGGTTGTTGAGCCTAGGACACTACCCTGAGGAACTCCTGCAGTAATGGTCTACAGCAGAAATGATTGACCTCCAAAAATCACAACTATCTTCTTTTGTGAGATCAAAAGCCATGAGTGTATGGCTCAAATAGCTAATGAACTGGAGATGACAGTCAAAGTGCCAGACAAACCAGAAATAATTATTAAACTGTTTGATTTATTTGAGTTCTAGTATTCACTTTTAAAGTTTTTATTCCCTTCAGAAATAAATACTTTCTATCATTCTCATGAAGTTGTCAAATTGCGACAAATACCTTGCTAACTTCATGAGTTTCTTTAAGGAAGAAATCTGTGGTCTCTTCCTGATTTGCCTATATGTGAACCCTGCTTCACAGGGGCTATCTCCTCACTGTTCTCTGAAGTGACCTAGCAAGTTCCCTCAGTTGCATCAAGCCAGTAGAAAGAGAACCAATAATGAAAGTAAATGAGAGATAGTAGGAACTGCAATTGCTGGAGAATCTGAGATAAGAAGGTGTAGAGCTGGATGAACACAGCAGGCCAAGCAGCATCATAGGAGCAGGAAGGCTGACGTTTCGGGCCTAGACCCTTCA